ACCCACCATACACCTACACAGTCACTTCCTCTGAGACAGTTTAGAGGCTGCTGTAGATCTCCATAATGACCTGGGTTCAAAACTCAGCTCCACATATGCTAGCTGTATTACTTCTGTCAAGTTATCTGATTGGTGCTTCAGATCCTCATCTTAAAATGGAAATAATTATAATACTTCTATAAGAGTTGGTTGTGAAAATTAAGTTAGTCAATCCATTAAAAGTGCTGAGATACTTTAGGTGCCTGACACATAATAAGCCTTTAATAAATGTTAACTGTTTTTACTTTTTTCTTTAGTATGATTATTATTATACCTCTTATCACACTATTCTATAATAATCCTTCCTACTAAACATATCTTACCATCTTTGTACCCTGATGACTAACGTAGTCAGTTACATAGTAGGTACTGAATACATGTTAAAGAGAGGATAAAAGGATTGGCTGATCCAGGTTTGTGGTTTGGTTTCCTATGACCAAATAAGATTATGAAGCAATAACAGCAACCGTAAGGCTTGAGTATCTTTGTCCAAATGTCTAAGTATATGCTGTTAGCATTGTGTGAGCAAGAGCTGGAGAGGAGTGAGCAAGAAACGTGTGTTGAACTGGGCTGAACTGAGCAATTTTCATTACTTTATTCATTGAGTTTGGGGTCAAGAAGGGACTGAATACCCTAAAGTAGCCATTATCTTCAACTCTCATCTCTCTGCCACACCTCATACTTTCCATTTACCCCCTTCCCACTGCCATGTTCCCCTCAATCATGTATAAACTGAAACCCAGAAAGCAAAAGGAGTGCTGAGGGAAGGGGGGATTAGATGGAGAAGGGCTAGCAACTCCCTTCTTCCTTTACTGAGATCAAAGCCAGTGTTTTCACTGGAAGGCCACTGACCTCTTTCATCCTACTCTACCTGTCTGGGAATGGGATTGCTGCTTGCCCATTCCCTTTCCTCTTAAGGGCTGGAGGGCAGTTTCAGGGTGGGGCCTCAAGCTATTTCTAGTGCTACTCAAATCTCTGCATCCTAACATCTCTTTTACCTTATGTGATCAGATTTCCTTTCCACCTCTCCAGTAAATAACAAGTGGCAGGAGCATAGGGCAGGAAAGTGTTAAAGAAGCCAGTTTCTCAACAGGCCCTAAGCAAAGCTAATGGTTTAAGCAAGTGGGGAAGACTCTGGGGTTACTGGGTTTTGTCTGGCAGGAGGAGCAGACTCTTCTTCATCATAGCTCCAAGTGCTTGGCCCAACATCCCCCAGGGTATATGTGAGGCACCAGTTAGGCAAGAGCTTCTTGCCCCAGGAGAAGGGAATTTACATTACTGAAATCCTACTAAGTGTATAGTATCTGTGATTCCTAACAGCCTAGCCAGATCAGCACTTATCATCTCTCTGGTAGCAATGACAAAACAGAGATTAAGCAACTCTCCTGAGGCACACACCTAAATCTGGGTACAAAAATCCAGCTCTGGCTGGACTCTAAAACCAGGACTCTTTCCATTTCATCATTCTACCTCAATAGTCTAGAAAAGCTGTTAATGCTGTAAGTTGGCTCTTTTCATTATTCCACAGAATTAACTCAACAATCAGTTAAACCTTTTATGAATTAATTTAATTTAACATGATCTATATATATAAAAGCCCAGCGACTGGAATGGCAGAATGACCAGAACTGCCGGAACGATCAGTGGCTATGACGCACCCTGTGGCAGCCAACTGGCCTGATCCAGGCACCGATCAGCCCGTCCCCCTGGCTGGCCCAGACCCCAATCAGCCCCCAGCACCCCGATCGGGGGTGGGGCCAGCCGGCCAACCGCTCGCAGCCCCTCCCCCCTTGCCAGCCTGTCCTGATGAGCCCCCATTGGGACAGGCCGGCCAGACCCCACCCGTGCATGAATTCACGCACCAGGCCTCTAGTTTTAAAATAAAAGTGTAAAGAGAAATGTTAATGACTTGAGGTCAACTCTACATGCTATGCAAAGAGACTGTGATGAAGGTTCTGCCTTTGCAGAGTTCATAATCCAGTAGAAAAGAATTATAACAAGTGCAAAAATAAAAGCATAATATAATGCAGAAACAGGAAAATGCCACGAGAAAGCCAGGAGGGGGATAGGACACCACCTTTGCCTCCCCAGTACTTATCGCTTCCTACAGCCCCAAGTAGAGCCTCCCAAGGCTGGGACCAGCCAACTGACATGTGGAACAGGATCACAAAATAGGAACTTTCTTAAATCATCCATGTCCCCTAGCCTAAGAATAGTGCAAATAAGCAAACCTGGGAATGATATTTGATTGTCAAAGATGGGGAGATATTTAAGAAGCCAGGCTTGGCTATTGCCTAAAGCCAGCCTACTTCAGCAAAGAATGGGATATTTACTGGTTAGTTAAAACCAAGTGCTAATGCAACCAGGACAAGAGGTTCAATCCCAGGAAAGGTCAGTTCTGTTAAATGGCAGTTCTGGTCCCAGCTGACCATCTTGTAACACTTGGCTCTTGGTCAAACAGGAGACTAAAGTAGGAGAGTGCAGGCAACCATGTAACCTATACTCACAATGAGGACATGTTATTCCAAACACTCAGCCCTAACCAGACAGCTCACCACATGTCTTGTAGACAGGATCAGCAGTGCTCCTTTCCTAGATAGAAGCAGCGGTTCCCTCCTCCTATACCTCAGCAAGGCCCCTTGCCTCTGATTTTCATAGCACCTTGATGCCAGGGCTTTGGGTTTCCCAGAGCAGCTGCTTCATTGCAGCTGCCTTTCTGCTATTGCTCTCTCTCAACCCATATTTCCATATCCATGAAATGAGTGTACTACTTGACACCCTCTGGAGGAGGAGAGGCCGCCTAAGGAGAGAGGGCCAAACCTCTCAAGTTTCCTTGATCATAATGGGAGGGGGTAGTTTCAGGATGTGTCACAAGGTAACCCCTCCTATCTGTTTCATATATGGGTTTGGTAGAGACGATCTCTATTCAAGGCCTCTTCTATCTCTAGAATTCAGGGCTTTAGGCATCAGAGAGTAATAACTCCAGGAGCAGGAAACTAGGTCCCTCTCTTCATTCTGGTCACACCAAAAACACTAAAAGGAATTATAAGCATTGGCACATTATAAGTCTTGGACATTTTCTTTTAATTTAAATGTGTAGAGTTGTCTGTAATGAATATGCAAAAGCCATCTCCCCATCAAATTGCTCTCATGGATTCCACAAAGACACTGTTAGAATCCCTAGGGATTGTTCGCAGCCTCTCCCACAGTGCCAGATGTACGTCCAGACTCTTAACAAGGATAATTTGGTGGCAATGGCAATACTCTAGATTATTTTTAGAGACTTTTTGAATGACATCAAATTCATGACACACATCAAGATCTCTTTTTTATGCCCTCTGTACCATTTTTTTCTGTGGAATTTGAATTTCCCTGGCTTACTTACTGCCTAACAATATCACTATTGAAAGCACATAATGTTAAGGACCATATGCTCTCTCTCCAGAGAGTGTGCACAAATACTATTTCTGTTAAAAACTAAACAGAAATAGCAGCTTTGCATATTTCCCATTCAAATACTTACCCCAATTGAATGATTTCCTTTGTCGTTGAGTGTTTTCCCCAAGCGGGCCTTAATAGAGAAGCTGAATCAGATATTGTGACTTACCAAAGGTCAAAGGAGTCATCTAGTGAGCTAGAAATAGAATCTAAAAACCTCTATTTTGATTCCCCGAATTTAATAACAAATAAACTCTACTACAGAGAAGAAAAACTGAAGTAGAGAAACTAGGCTTGCTTGACATTCCTGGGTTAGGGAATTCAAGACAGCCAGAACTAACAGGCAGCTGCCATGGTCTGTGAGAACCAATGAGGTGAAAAAGACATAGGTGCTCTCTGCCTTCAAGGAGCTGATAATCCAGTGTGGAGAGATCAGGTCGCTGGTTTAAAATCTCTATCCAAATTGTGCCAGCTAGAGGAACCCAGAGGAGGTCTCGCCCATCTTCATAGCCCCCACAGCAGCTGGCACAGTGACCTGCATGTAATGTGCAGGCAAGCACTGTCTATTTCAGGGGTCCTCAAACTATGGCCCGCGGGCCACATGCAAATACAAATATTGTATTTGTTCCCGTTTTGTTTTTTTACTTCAAAATAAGATATGTGCAGTGTGCATAGGAATTTGTTCATAGTTTTTTTTTAAACTATAGTCCGGCCCTCCAACGGTCTGAGGGACAGTGAACTGGCCCCCCGTTTAAAAAGTTTGAGGACCCCTGGTCTATTTGTTGAACAAGAACCGTAAGAGAGATACTAACAGAATGCTCTGGGGACTGATGGAGAATGAAGGACAGCTTTGTGAAAAAGGTGACATTTGAGCTGCACCTGGAAAGATGGGGAGGTTTTTTTACAGGCAGCAGGGATTGGGGAAGAATCTTTGTAGGCCCTGGGAGAGATCAATGGCAAAGATCCTAAAACTGGACAAAGTGTGGTATGATTTGGGAGAGCTCAGAGCAGGCCAGTGTGGCTAGAGAGGAGCTCTGGGGAGTCAGAAAGAGCTAAGGCTAGAGAGAAAAGTTGAGACCTGAGCAGACAGAACCTTGAACAACAAGCTAAAGAATTTAGTAGTGGACTGTTACTAGAGCCTTTAGTACCAGTGGTTCTCAACCTTCCTAATGCCGTGACCCTTTAAGTTCCTCATGTTGTGGTGACCCCCAACCATAAAATTATTTTCGTTGCTACTCCGTAACTGTAATTTTGCTACTGTTATGAATCATAATGTAAATATCTGATATGCAGGGTATATTTTCATTGCTCGAGACCCACAGGTTGAGAACCACTGCTTTAAACAAAGGGAATGGCACCACCAGGACTGGGCTTCCTGCTGCATTATCTTGCCCCGCCCACCTGGGCTTCCCTTGCCTTGTCAATAGTGCTGGGTTTCTTTTGACTGTACTGTTTGTATGTGGTTTCGTTTGCAGGTTTTCTGTGGTTTAGTTTGTTTTTTTGCCTTTCCCTTTTCCTTACAGTTTTTCACAGCATATGGTCCTGATTATGTGCTGGAAATCACGCCAAGCTGCCGGCCAGACCGCAATGAGCCCCACCGAGTCCAGCAAATCCTCAACTACATCAAAGGTGAGCACTACCCCTTGAGTCCTGTCCTCTTCTTTCTACCCAGCTCGTGGTGGCCCATCAGTGGGGCTTCCTCAAGTACCATTTGTCTTTTGGTGGCTAATAATTTCACTGATTGGAAAGGGAAACCTCTTCTTGGCCTGCTAGGTTGTAGTTGGAATTCTACACTGGCCACTCTGGTCAGGATTGTCATTTGGCCAGCTAATGTCACCTTCAGGGGCACCAAAGGTTCAGGTTTAGGCACCTCCAGTGGAAAACAAGTTCTAAAGTGTGCCCTGGAGGTTCCCAGTCTCTCCCAGAGCACTAGAGATGAAGCTGTTGTCCTATCCTCCCCTTCCCTAAGGCTGGCTTACAGTTATTCTGGCCTCTGAACAGAGGGGAAATGGCAGTCATCAGGTTATTGCCCTCTTGATCACACTGTCCACTAGCTGTTTGGGGATGTTGCCCTCAGCTTTCCACTAGTGTGCTCCTCCCAACCCCATCTGTTGCTTCACAACTCAACTCACTTTGCCATATTTAAAGTAGTTTTGGCACCCATTTTCCTGTTTAAATTTGTACATGTGCGTGAATATTTTTTGGATTCTAATTATTAGCAGAATTGAGAAGACTAGGGTATCATAATGCCCATCCCAGAGAGTGAAATCACCATGTTTATTCATATAACGATCAAGATAGAACCAGTTCTCCTACTTTGTGTCCCTTATTGGAATAGAATCCAGCATGGAAGAACTCTGTGCCAGGGGACACATTGTGTCTTAGGGTCTTTTCCCAGGGCTATATTAAGGCCCTATCCTCTAATAGAGCCCAGTCGGTGACAACAGCCAAGTGCATATGCAGGGACTCCGTGTCTCAGGCTCCTTGGCTAAAAAAAAAAAAAAATCTAAGCTCATAAGTCAGACTCATAAGGTTATGCTCACAACAATGCTTATAGTCTCTCTAAGATGTCTGATAGCCCTTAGCCTTTCCCTGATGCTGTAGTTTCAAGCCACCTCCCTCTGGCCTTTCAATGGCTACTGACCCCACAGGTCTTCACTTCCTAACCAAATCTTCCTCCCTTGTCCAGCCTCTCAGGCCTTTAATTATAAAATCCTTCTATTCCGGGCCCTTTTCTAGTCCTTCTCACTGTGTTGCAGCCCTAATTAACACTAGTGCTCCCACCCTAGTTTCCTCCTGCCCCTCTCAGACCCAGGACACATTTCCTGTTTCCTTTGGGACTGTACCCAAACAAACCTTGCCATTTCCCCCCCATCCAGGCTCTAAATCCTGGTAGAGCACATACAAAGCAATAGAAACAGAAACTAAACAAGCCTCTGCAGCTACTTGCTAACATTTACGTATGTGCAGATATCTGTATGCCCTCATGCTTTCCTGCACATGTACCCAAAAACATATCTCCAGAGCGTGGTGACATCTTGCTATTGAGGAAATGGAAATGACAAGTGAGAGAAAACATAAGGAAGGTAATTCAAAGGGAAGAAATCTAGGAAAAAGGTAAGAAACCCAAAAGAGGAATACATTTTTAAATATTTTAGGTAAAAAACTAGTTTGAGGGTTGGTAAACAACAACAACAAAAAAAAAACAAAGAAAGAAAGAAAAGAAAATAACAGAAGACATATTTACATGGGGAAGTCAAGATATTTTTTAAAAATCCTAACAGGTGAAAGCAATATTCTGATTGCAACACAATGAAATTAAAGTGGGGAAAAAAATGTATGAACCAGGAAATGGGTTCTCGAAAGCAACTGGACACATACAAGTTGGAAAGACAAGGTTTAGCATCATTTTCTCTGAAAGAGAGTTAGGGATTTTACTCAACACAGAGCTCAGTGTGAGTCACCAGGGCAAGGTGGCTCACAGATGCTGGTACCAGAGATGCTGATATATTATAAGCCTCACTTTTAAAAGACCCTAGACCAGTGGTCGGCAAACTGCAGCTGGTGATCCACATGCGGCTCTTTGGCCCCTTGAGTGTGGCTCTTCCACAAAATACCACGTGCGGGCGCACACGTACAGTGCGATTGAAACTTCATGGCCCGTGCGTAGAAATCGGTATTTTGTGGAAGAGCCACACTCAAGGGGCCAAAGAGCCACATGTGGCTTGTGAGCCGCAGTTTGCCGACCACTGCCCTAGACAAATAGGAGCTTGCTCCAGGAGGTCAGTTGGATTCCAGGCTCCAAGATGTCTGGTTAAAGGAGCTGGGCTTTGGAGAAAAGAAGACCTAGGGGCATGAGGTCTCTATTTCATATCCTTGAGAGGCTGTCACAGAGCAAAGGGTGTAGATAGAGTTGATGTGGTCATAGAGCACAGAGCTAGGACCCATGGGTAGATATTATTTTTTAAAAAGCAGATTTTCACTCATTAGAATGAATAATTTTCTTACAATTAGAGATGTCCAATGTGTAACTGTCTGCCCAGAAAAGGATGTGGTTTCTATCACTGGAGACTTACAAGATACAGACTGGACAATCTTTTGCCAATCAAATAGTAGAAGGGCTTCTGCATTGGGGGAGGGTGATTGTACTAGATTATTGTTAAGGTTCCTTCTAACCCTAATATTCTAGGATACTGTTCATTAAAATGAGGAAAAATAAGAATATGAGAGTGTGCGAGTTGGTAGATGAGTCACAGTTGTTGTGCATAGGAAAGAATTGATGAAGAGAAGGAAAAAAAACTAAGTGGCTGAGAGTGGGCAGGGAGGATCCAGAGAGGGCAGACAGCAAGTAGAGTGGTTATACATACTAGGAATCTTCACATTTTCCATTTAGCCATCCCTTGCATACTGACAGGGTCTTGTGTTCTAGCCATGCAAGTCCAGAACTGAAAAGAAATTCAGCTAAACCTGGAAGAAATTAGGCTACAAAGAAGTCCAAATGTTGCTAAAAATGGCCAGGCTAACCTGCTGTTCTGAGACCGTGCCCCTCCAGTCTTGTGACGCATGCTGTCATCAGATAGTGTGTTGCCATGACAATGGTCAATGTGGAAAGGCTGCTGAATTTTCTGCATTCTGAAAGATTTTTCTGAACCTGCCTACAAGACTGTCATTTATTCTTGCATATAAAAGCCTTGGCAAGGCTGGACGTTTCTCACTGTTCTTCTCTTCCCTTTCTCCCCATTAAAAACAAAGGGGGGGGCGCAGGCACAGATTCACTTGAGGAGGTGGGATGGTGATGAGGGAGTGGATGGGTGAAGCTCCACTCCATGGGAGAGCTTGTCTAGTTGAATTTGTTCAGCCCCTGAGCTTGGGTTTTTTCTCTTCCCCACCACATCCCTTAGAAGCACAAAAGATGTGATTTTTAACCTATTGGAGATCAAATCTGAAGAGGTTCATCTTATAGAGATGCATTCCACATGCTACAGGATGACTGGAGGAACTGGCAAATTTAGACATCACCTTATCTGCCCATTAGTCTATCCAACAGTGATAAAAGACAAAAATAAAATCATAAAGTCAATTAAAGCTTTTAGCTTCATACAGAGAAAAGCTATGTTTTGCTTCCACAAATTGCTCTTCTCGTGCCAATGAATCTTAAGGATATATATCATTGCTCACAGGAAGTGTTGGTTAGAGAGTGGAACATTCAGCCTAGCTCATGACCACTACTGTAAAATCATCTTCGCACCACCTTCATGTGCTCACACTTGTTTGCCTTTACTCTGGTTAGCGTACTCCAGAGGGGTTGGCTCACAGGGCATCTTCCATAGTTGGAACAGTGATGATGTGATCAATCTCCAGAGGCAGCTAGCTTCCCAAGTTACTGGGTAGCTCTACATGGGGATGCAGGGGTAGAAGTTTTCTAATCCCTGTTGCTGATGACATTTGAATCAAGTAAAGATCCCTAGAGGGGAAAAAGCTTCATGTTGCAGCCCAGAACCAACCTTCTGAAGGTGGAGGCAGGGAAGGGTTGGGTGAGTTGTACATGTGTATGTGTTGGAATTGTAAGGTTTCTACAATTGCTCCGAGTTCCCAGACTGTACCCCAAGTTTGCCTGTGATAGAAAAGGAAACAAATGGGGCCAGGAGGTAAGGATGAGCAGGGGGAGGACACAAGACAAAAGAGAAGGCCTTGTGCACATCTGCCCTTTCTGACACTTAATGAAGGAGGCTTACTTAGTATGGCAGCCTCTCCAGTGCAGGGTTGGGAAGATGGGCCAGCAAGCTAATACAGGTGTAGGGAGACACAACACAGGCGAAATAATAAAAATAATAGCTACTATTTATTCTACAGATGAGGAAACTGAGGCTCAGAGAGAATAAGTGAGCTGGTCAAGATCACCATTATTCATTCATTCAGCAAGTAATTACTAAGCACCTCCTATGTGCCACACACTGTACTAATAGGTGATGGAACGAACATTGGAACCCAAGACTGTCTGAATTAGAGCTTTGGAGTCAGGCTGTGTGGCTTTTCCAATGCCCTTCCTGTCTTTACAGTTGCCCTGTCAAGTCTTCTCATCATCCCCCATCTGCTTTTTCTAATCACCCCTAATAAATCTTTCCCACCATGCACTGCACACCTGGCTCCTTCCATGTGGCTGATCCATAGCACCTGAAATCTGATGTCTCCTGGAAATGGGAGGAAGATAGCCATGGGTAACACTTGAAATCCTGGCCCCTGGTCTAGGACTTTGAGCCCTCCCTAACCCCCCAGCCCTGCCATGCCCTCATCATCCCACCATATTATAATTGAACCTTCCAGCTCAATTTTTAGCTTAATCCTATATAATAAAAAGCTAATATGCAAATAGACTGGACAGCAGAACAACCGAACAACCAGTCGCTATGATGTGTGCTGACTACCAGGGGGCACGCGCAGAACATGGCGGGCATTGGCAGCAGGCGGCGGAGCACAGAACATGGTGGGCATTGGCCGTGGTGGGATGGTAGAGCAGGTGAGCAGGGCTGCCAGACCAAGGCTGGGCACTGGTTACTGTCATCAGGGTGAGCCTCTGGTGGTTACTGAAAATTCTTTGCTCCCACATGCTAAGGTCCCACCTGGCACTT